TTTAATACAAATACTTTTCAAAATCAGCAATCCACGTATAATCTTAAAAATGCCTTTTTTTTTTTTGGTCCCCGAAATTAAGATATTCATTCAGAAAGTTTTTGTCGCTGAATATTTAACTTCACTTAAAAAAGCATATTTATACATTTTCCAGAAAACAACATTCCTTTTAAAAAGGATATAAATTTCAGCATTAAATATGCCTAAAAAGTTCAAATTTTGAAATCTACTTAATACTTAGAGTTTCTTTAAAGAGCAAATTAAAAGTCACATCAAGTTAAGCTGATTAAATTTTTCAGAGATCGTAAAACAGAAGACTTTTTATAATAATTATTCAAATATTATGCTAAATATCTTAAAATAGGCAATAATTAAGGTAAAAAGAAATTATAGAACTATTTTTTAAATAATTATCATCTCTTTTCCCCTCCCCCACAAAAATGTTTTAAAGACTTTAAATTTATGACCAAAAAAAGTTACCATAAAAAAAATGATGAAAAACAGTATCGGAAAATAATATGAAATGCCAATTGAACTATAAACATTGTTCTTTAAATGTTTCAGCAATATCAGAGAAGGAATGAAAGTTACACCAAATATTTGTTAATGTGGATTTTATTAACAGCAGTTTAACAGGGTTCGTACACATTTCTGCACAAAGGAAATTAAGTACTTTTAAGGACCATTAATGAAAAAATTAAGGACCTACGAGCAATTGGGAACTGAATAAATTCAATTAAAAATATTATATCTATGCCTGAACGTGAGTAGGATGCATTACTATTAAACATAATTAATATAATTATTAATATGCTTGAGAATAAAATTAATTTTATGAAATTTATCAAGTAGCATTAAATATTTTACACTCATAATGACTGGACTTTTTGAAAGAAGATAAGTGACATTTTAGTTAAGTTCTACTAACAGTTATCTTTTTTTCTTTTTTTTCTTTCTTTCTTTTTTTTTTAAATATCTTTTTGTCACATACTTTCTCAGTCTAGAGGTTTGGTAAATAGTAAGCAGATTTTATGTCAAGCAGCATAGGTTAAAATAAGCATTAGAATCATAATCAGCATGATTCACAACAAAAGACCGGCTGTTGCCACCGCTCCTGCTTGCCTATAGAGAGACCTGCTGATCAGAACAAACCTGAAAGGCCTGATGTAGGCACAGTAGCAAGTTTTGAAAGTAGCTGACCTCTGTCTGACGCTGTTAGTGTCGTAGCTTCGTGTAGAGTTCCAAGGGTTGTAACTCAGTTACTTTAAGGTTCTATTAAGCCACTAAAGCATTAGCGGTGATAAGTTGTTTTGCATTAAGTCTTACTAGATGCAAAGAATAAGTTTCATATGAATTTTTATATTTTTGCGTTTTACCTTGTGACCACGGTAAAGGTTTAACACGTTGAGCCCGGAGCCGAATTTGCTGCCCTTTCTGTTCAGCCGGCAGCGATCAGCCGACAGCAATGTTGCAGACTTAAATTATTCATACATTATAGAAAAAGGAAGGATATAAAGTCCGAAAGTATTGCTCGAAATGTTATGATGACAATTGAAAACTCTTTGGATGCAAGATAGCCAAAAATGTTACCAAAATAGTTGTTTTGTATTGTAATATGTGTAAAGCTAAGCCGTAGTTTTGCTTAGAATGTTTCAATAAATTTAATTAAAACTACATTTGATCTCATTTTCATTGAGACTATACTTATTTTTTAACTTCAATACTGTCGGTCCTGTGGATCGACGCCAGCCAAACGAAAACTCCAGTGCCGGGCTTAGCGTGTTAACAAAAGGCAATAACTTGCTTTAATATAGACAGATAATTTTTAAGAGAATGCTTTTAGTTATAATTAAATTAGGTATTAGATAACCTTAGTCATTATGGATTTACAAGGCCACTATTAAATTAATTTTTTTAAATAATATTTGTTAAAAAAAACCTATTAATATAACAATCTCATAAAATTCCACAGTTTAAAATACATGCAATTTATGACATTGATTTTTAAACAATATTAGGATAATTACACATTAAAAGCTACAAAACATAAAACTCAACAAAATAATTATGCATCTTATTAATTTGAAGGTTTGCTCAGACATTTTGGCTAATTTATATCGATTTCCTTCTCCTTAAGCATGTTTTCTAACAATTAGAAATTTGTCTCACTATGCAAAATAATGTTCTCATTAGTTTCTGCGTGTTTTATCTCCTAACTGGCAACCTCTCCAAAATGTACTACCTGTGAGAGTTTACTTGATCTGGTAAAAGTTAAATAGTTCGACCCCCATGTGAAACAAATTATCACTATGTCTGAAAGTAACTATAAATCAGATAATAAATTTAAATAAAGTTTTAAATAAGCTTCTTATTCAAAAAGAACTTGGAACATGTAGGCCTGTTCTTATGCTAACAGAATCAATTACAGTTTGTGGAGATATAATTAAACAAGAAGAGTCAAATTCAAACTAAAAATATGGACTAGTGGTCAAAAACTATAATCCAGCTCAATAACTCTATTGTCATAATAATCTCAAATATCAGCAGCGGTAATGGAAAGACTAATAATTACAAATTATCAGAGCTGACAGAACTAATGCAGGGAGCAAGTGGAAGACAGAAACATACTTGTCTTACACTCCAAAAACTTCCGTTTAAAAACTAAGTGATTTGCATTCTGTTGAGGAAATAGAAATGGGAAATTGTAGTACAGGCTGAAACTGTAAATAACTGGGTAATTTACATAATAATAACTGTACATATCTTTGAAGAATAATTTTCTTTCTCTTTACATATTTAGTTTCTTTTTTCAACACGTTTCCTTTTCACTTGAAATTTTTGGGATTTAATTAAAGACTTCTAAAAGACTAAATGCATTTAGAATGTATGGAAAAAGCTGCTAATTTTATTTATTTAATAATATGGACATTCAGAAGAAATATGAAATACATATGGTAAAGTCTAGTCACAGAGCTGTTGTGGCATAATTTTTAGAATTTAAGGACACAATGAACAACAAGATCTAGAAATGGCAAAACTTTTAGAATTTAGAGCAGGCATTGGAAGCAGAATTTAGAAAGGCATTAGGCAACAGAATTTAGGATCCATCCACGGAGATTGCATCAGGTGGGAAAATGCCTAGCGCCAGCTCTGTGCATGATGCATTAAGACGTATTAGATGAATCTTTTAAATTGCCAAGTTTTCAATTTCTTTATTAATGAAAAAATTCCTTTTTATAATGACCTTTTCCATATGATAAGATTAGAAGTACTTTTGATATTTTCCATGCTATATGGCTAGTAAAAAGTAGGAGAAAATAAAGGGAAGATAAAAATGTTAAGAAAAAGGGATTTTAGAATCAGAAGTAAAACATTCAACTATTTATGTTTTCATTGTTCTTCCAGATGTTCTCCAAAATGTAAAAAACTGCATGTTACTACCATGGAGACATTTTCATTTTATCACATTTTTCTGGAATCTTTTAGAATCATGGGTCTATAAATTTGCCTTAAAATCTTTCTAAACTTTCCAAGCTTCAATGTCTAAAATCCTAAAGAAAAATTACTCCTACCAATTCTGTAACAGCAAAAAGCCAGAAATGTTTTTTAAAAAAATTGGAGGAAAAAAGTGTGAAATTAATTTTATAGAGAAAACTGATGCATTTTCTGAGAAATAGGAAAAATTCTTACCATAAAAAATTAAAAAGACATTTTTAATTAATTACATAGCTATTTTGCTTTTGCTAAAAACTGTTTTGTTAACTGTGCTTTATAGCATTATTCCTTGCTTATTTTCAGATTCAAAAAATTGTATAATATGTGGCCAAATGGAACTTTATACGAAAGTGAAAAAATAAAAATGATTTATTTTATGTTATTTCTTTCGCAGATCTCGAAATTAAAATTTTTTTATAGAAACCGATCTTAAAATCGCCAAAATGTTGATAATCGCCAAATTTAGAGCCGTTTAATAAAAGAATTCACATGCCCAAAAGGGAGAAGTTGTTTGAGAGCTCTTCATTACAAAAAATGAAATAATTTTGAAATGCCTTTGTTTCACTTCTTGCTCAGAAACTCGAGCATCCTACCATTATTTATATTACAAATAGGAAAAAATTATAACTCATGAACCCATTCAAAAAATAGCCATATTTGTCAGTGAATCGCCAAAAATATTCCTGCAAAATGCTAATTCACACCCAAAATGGCAGTCGTAAAAACAAACAGAAATTTCAGATGATTAAAATTAAGGACCTACTGCCGATTTTGGCCAAAATTAAGGACTTTTAAGGACCAAAAATCAGTTCCAAAAAACTTAAGGACCGTACGAGCCCTGTTTAATCAATCTACATTGAAATTCAGGCAATAATCGATGACTTAAATGGATATAGGTAACTTAGATAAAAAATACATAATTATTAAAAATAAAACTGGCTAAATTTTAATACCAATTTATTTGAAATAAGTCTTATAAGAAATAGCTGTACTTGATATGGTCATCAAGGAGAAACTATTCATTTGCAACTTTATTGATAGCTCCCATTTACTAATGTTTAGGGCTATTTTTGGGCCATTTTAAGCACAGTTCGTTAAAAAATTAGCAACAGTTTTAAAGGTATTTGTAGAAAATAACTCGATAGGCTAAGGGTTAAAGCCTGAAGAACAATTTACAAAAGCTATGTGTGAACTGGCCAGTGAACTTATCTGTTTTGTGAAGACTAGAGTGCTGTTCTCTGTTTTAATTTACTTTTGCAAGCTCCATGTTATTGTTTGTAGTGCATGGGTAGTTTATATGTATTCAAAATATATACATACATATATTTTTTCCTCCTTATACACATTAAAAATACTTAAATAAAATATAATATTAAATGTTCCTGCATAAACATCCTGTTTCCTGAAAAAAATAATAATATAAGATTGTCTTCAAATTTTTTCATAAAAACTACTCGGATAATTCGTGAAATAATTTTCAGAAAAACATGGTTTAAATAACTTACCAACATTATTATGCTCTGTTGCTGCAACAACAAGGTTTAAAGAACTATTAATAATTTCTTTTCTAGTAGGATTCATGATAACATTTCCATCGATAAAACCTACACGCACAGCTCCAATGGGCCCATTCCAAGGAATATCAGAAACTGCCAGAGCTGCTGAAGCTATTAATTAAATTAAAAAATATAAGAAATGCAACATGTTAAAAGAAGCAATAAACAAAGAATTTTTTTTCAAAAATTTACAGCAACACATTGCTGAGATTTTGATTTAAACTATTGTAAAATTATTATCGGCTATTCATTTCCAGAACAGTAAATGACAAAATTTTATTAAGCATCCAAAAATGTTCATACTATAGCATTCAGTAAAAAAATAATGACCTAGTAATTTCATGCAAATGCATTTTATTCAGCGAAATAATTTCTTTCAGCTTCAATTGCAGGCTCCCAACGAGTTACAAGCTGATACATGCTGCTTTTGTAAAATTTCTTGCCCCTAGAACCATAACAGTCCTACAGCCTGCGTGACATCATCTCTATTTCAGAACTATTGCTCATGCAAATAGTTCTCCATAAACAAGCAAACAAAAAAAAAAAAAAAAAAAAAAAAAGTGACAGTCAGATAGAGCAGTGTCTGGGTAGTAAGGAAGAAGATGAGAGGTGGTTAAGAGGTAAGACTTTCCAATCCAGTGTGTTGATCACCTTCTTAGTCACATTCGCCATATGAGATCTGGCATTGCCTTGAAGAATGATCACTCCTTTTCTGTTTACTAATGCTGGCTGCTTTTGACACAATGCAGCTGAAAGCCTTTAAATTAGGATGAGTATACCTCAACTGATGGCTTTGCCCGTCCCTAGCAATTCCAAGTTCACAGTACCAGCAATGGCCCATCAAAAACAAAGCAGTACCTTCTGATGACAAATGTTTTGTTTGTGGGCAAGTGCCACAGAACCAGGGGGATGACCAATGATGTTTAATTTTGCGGTTACACCCATTTCTTGTCACATGTAAATATCTGATCTAGCAATCGGCCGTTTTTGTGGAATGGCAGCAATGAATAGCAAATGGTTTTAGCTACAGGATTTTTTTTTTTTTCCAATCAGAAAGTAAGGAATCTACTTACTGAGCTTTCATGTCTTTCCAAGTTTGTGCAAATGCAATCGAATGGTTTCCTCTGACACTCCAAACTATTGTGAAAGTTTCTTGCATGTTTGATGCAGATTATGCTTGATGCTTTCCTTCAGCAGGGCTTCATCGCTAGTTGACAGACATCCAGTTCAAAGCTTGTCCTGGAGGCTCTCACCTGTTGATGCAAATCAACTGAATTTCATGCTGTGCCCTCACTCACTGA